GTGGCAGGTGCAGCTCTTGGTGAACCTGCATGTGCAGATTTCGTGGCAAGTGCAGCACTTTGTGAACCTCCATGTGCAGATTTCTTCCCAGGCACAGCACTTCGTGAGCGTCGCGGTGAAGACTTCGTGGCAGGCCCAGCACTTTGTGAACCTTCATGGGCAGATTTCGTGGCAGGCACAGCATCTGGGGAGCTGGAAGCTGAGAACTGGCGACTTTGTAGCACAACTTTAGTACGCGGAGCAATCTGTGAGCTGGAAGCTGAGAACCGGCGCCTTCGTACAACTTTAGTATGCGGAGTATCTGGCGAGCTGAGAACCTGAGTAACAACACAAACGCTACCCCTGCAGGCTGATGGGCCTGATTTGAAATGTGGAGCAGTTCAATGGCATCATGGCCTACCCGAGCTTCAATATGCGGACATCCTTGCTGTGCCAGATCTTGAAGCTAGAAGAGCACTACTACCCGAGAAGCTGGGAGGTATGTTTGGCCCGGATATAAAGGCGGCCATCCTGCTACGCTCTTGTCCTCAACGAAGGATCCACCTACGCCCAAATTCGAGAGTCTTCGACAATGCCACTACGAAATGGAACGAGTCAGGTGCATTGTCACTCTCAAGCTCTATGTCTTCAGGTGCAGACCAGGGCCCTATGCCTATGAAGATGGATCGTCTTCAGCAGAAGGGAAAAGACAAGGGCAAGTCGAAAAGGGAAGAACAGAAGGACAAGAGCAAGGGCAAATCAGAGAAGGGCAAGTGTTTCCTGCCGAAAGCAATGATGCTTAGTTTGACAAACAACGGATGTAAGCAAGACAAGGACACCATCCCATTCAAAACCCAAATTACATGATAATATCCACGCCAAAGACAGGCAAGAAAATTGACAAGGCGGCAGCAAAATCATGAACAGAAATAAGCTTGGGAGACAAGGTGGCAGCGACAGCCACGCGCGAAATATGAAGAAAGACAAGCTTGGGAAACAAGGCGGCAGCGGCAGCCAAAAACGAAATCACAAAGGAGACAAGCTTGGGACAAGGCGGCAGCAACAGACAAAAGCGGAATCATGAAGGGAGACAAATTTCACAGACAACGTGGCAGCGGCAGCCAAAAACGAAACCATGAAGGGGGACAAGCACTGGGACATCGAACGGGACCGTGGTCCTGCCCTCCGGTGCTTTCCCGGAGCTCATGGCTGGAGATGCACTGCCACTGAGCTTTGCAGCGCCCCTCCGAGGTGCTGCTGGTGGCCCTAGCAGCTGAATCTTTGGCCCCGTGGGGACGCGACCATCGGACGGCGTAGCGGGACCCCGAAGACTGCAGAAAAGGGGGTTGGTGGGCATAGAACCCAGACATGGCCCCGGTTTTGAGAGGAAGTTGGAGCATTTTTGGGTCGGTGGGTGGTCTGACAGGGGTCGGGTGGTCCACCCCAGATCAGGTGATGATCCTGTCACTTCCATCTAATCACCGTGAAGTCTGTCCGTACTTTGAAAATAAGGATCAGCTCTTTGAAACATGGGTCTTGGGCATCCAAACTGGCTGGTGAGCCCCAAAAGAGATGTCATTGGTGGCCCTACTCAGCAAGAGCAGGCAGATCCACGACTCTTTGGAACCTGCCGGGAGATTGCCGTGCCTTCTGTGTTTTTCGTAAAGGTTCTGCGAAGTCTCGTTTCGAGCTTCCTGACGATGAATGTTTTCCTCCACCTTGAGCTTGAGCTGCTTCACACTTGCAGCCGCTTGGTGGCCGACTGTACAACCTGGATCGGTGGCCGACTGTACAACCTAGATCAATGCCTAAGTCAATTCTACCGACGCTCCTCCAGCCAAACCAGGATCAAAGCCATCCATTTGTCACCTTTCTCCTTTTGCAAGGGCGTCCTCAAAGAAAATGAAATAGGGCCATCAGGTGATCCTCAATGAACCTATTATATTCAAAGATAAGGGCAATGGGATACCTCAAAGTGCTTTAATTTCCAAGTTAAAATAGCCTCACGTACCGAGGGCGAGCAACGTACCATACTAGTTGTATAAATAAGCACGGTCGCAATTAGGACAAGGGGCGCGAAGGGATATAGGTCCCATTCCTAAATCCGCCGCCGAAGCTCACAAGAAATGCAACGCATATCCTAATCCCAAGTACGATACCATGCGAGCGGATATTTAATCATAAAAAAAAACTATGAAATCGATTTCTTATTCTTTTAATTTTAATCTATAAGTATTCACATAGCCATTCTTTTTTTATAATAAATAAGCGGTCAACGACTAACTCATTAATTTAATGTCATTGGGCCCCTTTTTGTTATTTTAACTTCTTTTTTTTATTTATAGGGTGTCAATATAAAATTAATAGATTATAACGCCCTAAAAATAAAAAGCGAAAATAAATAAGAAATTAATAGGTAGCATAATCTTCTTCACAAAGGAAATAGCAAAAAAAAATAGAATTTTATAATGCCACCCCAAATCTATAATCGTCAAAATAAAATAATTTTCTTTACCAAAATATAATATTTTATAAATTTAATTTTAAATAAATCTTTAATTTTTATATAATTCAATAAATAATTTTATAGATTATATTTTTTATTCGAATTAAACTTTAAATATTAAAAAAATTACACGAATAAAATCATAAATATTTTTTTATTACTAAATTTATGCTTAAAAAATACATAATACCAACATATAATAAACTTATATATTAATAATATACAATTTCATCTACTCGTTCCAATTAAAACAAATAAATAACCATCAAAATATATTTAAAAAAACGACCGAAATAAAAAATATGTATATATATTGTATTCATAAACCGAATTCCAATAATGACACATCTAATCCTAAACATTACATCCATAAAAAATAGCAAACAAAGGAAACACCCTTTCTACATACTAATTAACAGTCAGCGGCGCAAACCAACCAATCTGTTCCGTCCGCATTCCTTTCCCGCCCCTACCCTTATCCCGGCCGCGACAGACAACCTTAACCACTACCACGTATCTCAGCACGCCAAACCTAAATGCCACCTACCGCCCAATTCGCAATTGCCAATACTACGTTAAACATCGCATTATAAGGTAGCGTTAAGTCCGATCGATACAATTTTCAAAACGAAAAAACTTACCAAGAGAAAAATACCGGTATACCAATCCTCCCCACCCCACGCCGGTTCCATTTAAAAGGGAAATTTCCTCCTTGAGGGCATGAAGTCCTCCCGAGGTGGGTGGCTGTCCAAATTCACCGTTCGCACGCATAGCCATAGCCGTGGCAAGTTTTGCAATTTGCTTCCTATTCGCAGTGTCGCCGAGTCATGGATGCGGATGATAAGGAATCTCCCATCGCTGCCATCGAAACCACTCCAATTGAACCAACCGTCAACCTTCAGCGCAACATCAAACTCATCAACGCTTTTGCCATTGCTATTGAGCTTCCCGAGCAAACCGCTGCTTTGCACGAACTCGGGACCTACAGCCAAGTCAAAGCATGCCTAACCTCCCTGCCATCCCACTGGCCGTGTGCTGCCTCCACTTGACACTCATCAGCACCATGCCAATCCATTCAAACCCATCCAAGCGCGCTCCCAAATCCTTTCAGGATCCAGTCTCGATTGGCATGCTGACTCAGTCCACACACCTAGGTAGCCCAATTTTGCCAGCCTACTTCCCCGGAGCTTTGGGGAATTTGAATCGCATCTTGGGCTGATGCTTAACTAACATCGTCGAAAACGGACGGACATCCACTTTGACCGTTATGATCGACCACCTGGTCAACCCTCAAGTGTCATCTTTTAGTGCTGGGTGGGTGGGAGGGCTGCACAATGTCTTCAAGGGTGGGTGGCTTGGCTTCAGCGGCTGGCTGCGATGCGGAGGCTGGCAAAAAGGGGCGGCGAACCGGAAATATAGAAGATCGCGGAGCATCCTTTTCAGGCGTCAGAGTGAAACCATAGCGTTCAAGTTTCTCACGAGCATGGTGAAGCTCTTCTTGCTGTGTGGCTTACAGTTGTCGGAGAGCGTAGGAAATCACAGGCCCAACAAGTGGCGCCATAAATGCCTTAGCGTCTGAAGTAGTTGACGAAGAAGCACGGGGCACGTGGGCAGGCTTGGTCCGTGGCTTCCGCGCCAGGGTTGCTGCCACTTCCCCAACCGAAGCCTGACCGAGGTGGGGGCTGTCAGCGGGAGTTGGGAGGGCCGGTAGCGGATGAAGATGCGGCTGCTCGAGGATAGACACGACCCATGTTGGAAAGGATAGATAACCTTTGGCGTGCTGCCCAAAAGGTATAGCGCCGTATCGACCAGCCCGTCTCTGCGATACGGCTGATAACAAATAGATTCTGTAATTGAAGTGGCAAGTATGTTATGGCCCAACTAATATGATCGAACGGGACGTTGATCTAAATGTATGCTAATGAATTAGCCACCCGGTTCCGTGACCCAGTTCCGTGAAGGAACAGCGCGAGGTACACCGGGGGGCTTGGTACCCGCGGTTGTGGAACATGAGGAACGAGAGCGCGAGGCAATCGAACAAGGCGAGAGTGTGGAGGCGAACGAAAAGGCGCGACCGTACACAGTGCAGTCAACACGCACCCTGTAGGAAGACAGCAAGGCGCGCTGTTTTCCTTGAACCAAATTGGTCACGGTCGGGTGTGAGTGTAGTGAGTGAGTGTAGTGAGTGAGTGGAGTGAGTGAGTGGAGTGATTTTGTGAAGTACCTTGGTCACCCCCGCATGGAATGAATGCTACACATGGTAGTGCCATTAATTACATAAAAGGGGCGCTTAAAAGTTGACCATGAAAAACAAACCAGATTTGCCAACTCTGCTGAAGGGGGTGTAAGAATGCGTGGCAAACAAATTTTGTGAATTGGTAATGCCAGTCCAGACATCTACTGTAAGCACATCACAGGTCCCTTTTCAAAAGTATTCCTGGGCTGCAAACACTGGGTCAACCCTTCCATAGAAAACTTTGCTATTGAGGCAAAATGTCTTGCAAACTCAATATGCAGAACACCTTTTCTTTCAAATCCCTTCGGGATCTTGAGTTGCGGCCGCCCCTTTGGGGCTAACGAATTCAATCTGGCCAACCTCGAACAGAATCCACAAAATTATGCCAATCGATGGAACATTCAGCTCATCTAGGTGGCAACTCAATCAGAGTCGTCACTGAAATCATCTCGTACAATTCTTCCTGCCAAACTCAACAGAATTAGAAAAGATATTGAGGTCACTTTCTAGTTGGTTGGAGGCCGTTGCTCGTTGTTTGGAGGCCACTGCTAGTAGGTTGGAGGCCATTGCTAGTTGTTTGGAGGCCATTGCTAGTCGGTTGGAGGCCATCGCTGGTGGGTTAGAGGCCATCGCAACTAGGTTGAGGTCACTTTCTTTGGAGTGTCATGTCCTCGATTGCCCGGCACTGTCACAGGAGAATGAGGCTTTGAACCTTGGTCTGCATTGACTTTGGGTCTCCAACGATCCGTTTCTGTCTGTGGTCTCCACTCGTGGTAGTACTGGCAGCGCTGGACCTGAGCATGGCTCCTTGAAAAAGGAAGGCAAAAACACAAATTACTCATAGCGATGCACTTGTTACTAGTAGCGATGCGCTTGTTACT